CAGAGATTGTGTTGCTCCATGTGCTGGCATCCATCCTAAGTTCCGTCAAAGCATGGTGGGAGCCTTTATGCTTTCAGGCCTCTGCTGCTCCTCCTCCAGAAGGGTGTGGCTGATCACATTTAAGCCTGCTGTCTGCAGTTGCTCTTTGCATTCGTGTCCTGTATGTTCCTTTGCAGCAAGCTCTTGTTCTGTTCTCGTTGCTCTCCTGGTAATCGACTCGGCTTGGACAAGACTATTCTCTGCCTTATCCCATTACCTGACCTCCCATTGCTGAACCCGGCCCATGACCTGAGTATTCTTGTCTACCATCTTGTATTGTTTGCTCCGTTGTTATCGACCTGGCTTGTCTGACCACGCTATACGTTTTTCATCTGGCTCCCACCAGCTGTACGCCATTGGCGGCAGTCGTTACCGCAGCTGGGGTTACTTGAAGGCCACGATCTGGTCTCAGGCTGCGTCAAGTCCATCCCCACCATCAGGGGCCCTGGTGAAGGGCAGCCTGGGGCTTAGACTCAGTCACTGCGTGACCCTACCATTAGGCCTTACTGCCCATTTTACCGCTCCTGCCCTGATAGTCTGGTTCAGTAGGAATCACAATCATGGGAAAGACTGCTGACCTGACAGTTGTGCAGAAAACCATCATTGACACCCTCCATAAGGAGGGAAAGCCTCAAAAGGTAATTGCAAAAGAAGTTGGATGTTGCCAAAGTGCTGTATCAAAGCACATTAATAGGAAGTTATGTGGAAGGGAAAAGTGTGGAAGAAAAAAGGTGCACAAGCAGCAGGGATGACCGCAGCCTGGAGAGGATTGTCAGGAAAAGGCCATTCAAAAGTGTTGGGGACTTTCACAAGGAGTGGACTGAGGCTGGAGTCAGTGCATCAAGAGCCACCACACACAGACGCATCCTGGACATGGGCTTCAAATTTCGTATTCTTCTTGTCAAGCCACTCCTGAACAACAAACAATGTCAGAAGCGTCTTACCTGGGCTAAAGAAAAACAGACCTGCTCTGTTGCTCAGTGGTCCAAAGTCCTCTTTTCTGATGAGAGTAACTTTTGCATCTCATTTGGAAACGAAGGACACAGAGTATGGAGGAAGAATGGAGAGGCCCAAGTACCCCGAGTATGGAGGAAGAATGGAGAGGCCCAAGGACCCCGAGTATGGAGGAAGAATGGAGAGGCCCAAGGACCCCGAGTATGGAGGAAGAATGGAGAGGCCCAAGGACCCCGAGTATGGAGGAAGAATGGAGAGGCACACACTGCAAGATGCTTGAAGTCCAGTGTGAAGTTTCCACAGTCTGTGTTGATTTGGGGAGCCATGCCATCTGCTGGTGTTGGTCCACTGTGCTTCATTAAGTCCAGGGTCAACGCAGCCATCTACCAGGAGATTTTGGAGCACTTCATGCTTCCTTCCGCAGACGAGCTTTATGGGGATGCTGACTTCATTTTCCAGCAGGACTTGGCACCTGCCCACACTGCCAAAAGCACCAAAACCTGGTTCAATGTGCTTGGGATTGGCCAGCAAACTCGCCTGACCTGAACCCCATAGAGAATCTATGGGGCATTGCCAAGAGAAAGATGAGACATGAGACCGAACAATGCAGAAGGGCTCAAGGCCGCTACTGAAGCATCCTGGTCTTCCATAACACCTCAGCAGTGCCACAGGCTGATAGCTTCCATGCCACGCCGCATTGAGGCAGTAATTGCTGCAAAAGGGGCCCAAACCAAGTACTGAGTACATATGCATGCTTCTACTTTTCAGAGGTCCGATATTGTTCTATGTACAATCCTTGTTTTATTGATTGCATGGAATATTCTCATTTTCTGAGATTGTGGATTTGGGGTTTTCATGAGCTGTAAGCCATAATCATCACAATGATGACAAATCACAGCTTGAACTATCTTGCTTTGCATGTAATGAGTATATCTCATGTATTAGTTTCACCTTTTAAGTTGAATTACTGAAATAAATGAACTTTTGCACAATATTCACATTTTTCAAGTTTCACCTGTATATTTGAAATACTACAGCAATATATTTCAAAATATATTTCAAATAATAAAAAAAAAATGATATATATATATATATATATACATACATATACACACTGTATATATAAGTGCGCACTTCCGGTAGCTGCCATCTTGCTATACCCAGTATACCAAGCAGTACACCCATAGGATGTGGTGACAGGCTTTTTTGTTACTGGGGATACATGTGAATGCTTTACCTACTAGGTTTCTTGCTTTTTACCCTATATATGCAATCTTGAGTGGAGATGGAGTGAATAAGGTGCGCTGGGCAGAGGTCTTTACTTTATTCCAAAGTCCCTGTGATGAGGAGTGGAGTGGAGAGGATCTGTTACTATTAATTACAGCCCTGTGGCCCTGCGCGGGCCGATGTGTGGAGGTGAACAGGCATTGGTGCCATTTGAGGATTTCTGTTTAATTTTCACTGGAGTGAAGATCACATCAGCACGGTTTCACTTGCATGGACTTTATGTTTTTAAATAACACAGATAGAATTTGATTTGTTTGCTGTTTGGTCACATACAGTGTGTTTTTTAGAGATTGATATATAGCACTGGATGTTTTTTTCTCCTTAACTAGTTGCCGACCGCAGATAGCCGAATGACGGCTGCACTGCGGCTGGCCAGTTCTGAGCGGACGTCATATGACTTCCTCCCTGAACGCGCTCTCCTGCGCGCCCCAGGGGCGCGCACCCAGCGATCTCCGTGATCGCTGTGTCCTACGGACACAGCTGATCACGTGATGTGGTAAAAGGCCAATCACAGCGGCCTTTTACCACGTGATTAGCGGTGTCCAATGACACGCTGATCAGAGGGAAATGCAAGTGCCGGTTCTCGGCTGCACTTTCCTCACGCTGTCAGATCGTGAGGAAAGTACTGCCGAGAACCGGCAGTTTGTCAGAGCGGGGATCGGCACCGATCATCAGGGCACTGATGATCAGTGCCCTGATGATCGGTGCCCAGCAGTGCCACCCGCAAGTTCCGCCCACCTGTGCCCAGCAGTGCGCCCACTAGCTCCGCCCACCTGTGCCCAGCAGATCACCCACCTGTGCCCAGCAGTGCACCCACCTGTGCCCAGCAGTGCACTCACCTGTGCCACTCTGCAGTGCCACCTACCTGTGCCCAGAAGTGCCACCTACCTGTGCCCAGCAGTGCCACTCACCTGTGCCCACCAGTGCCACCCACCTGTGCCCACCCACCAGTGCTGCCCACCAGTGCCACCCACCAGTGCAGCCCAGCAGTGCTGCCAGTCAATGCCACCAGTCAGTGCCCAGGGGTTGTGCCAGTCAGTGCCGCCAGTCAGTGCCCAGCAGTGATGCTAGTCAGTGCCGTCTATCAGTACCCATAATCAGTGTCACCTATCAATGCTGCCTATCAGTGCTGCATATTAGTGCCGCCTATCCGTGACACCTCATTAGTGCTGTCTATCAGTGCTGCCTATCCGTGCCACCTCATTAGTACTGCCTATCAGTGCCGCCTATCCGTGCCACCTCATTAGTACTGCCTATCAGTGCCCTTTAGTGCTGCCTATCAGTGCCCATCAGTGCCGCCTATCAGTGCCCATCAGTGCTGCCTCATCAACGCACATCAGTGAAGGAGAAAAAATACCTGTTTGAAAAATTTTATAATGGAAACAAAGAAACTGTTTTTTTTTTTTCAAATTTTTTGCATTTTTTTATTTATAGCGCAAAAAGTAAAGCGCCCAGTGGCGATTAAATGCCACCAAAAGAAAGCTCTATTTGTGAGAAAAAAATGATCAAAATTTCATATGGGTACAATGTTGCATGACCGCGCAATTGTCAATCAACGTGCGGCAGCGCTGAAAATTGGCCTGGTAAGGAAGGGGGTATAAGTGCCCGGTAGGCAAGTGGTTAAAGAACCACTTCACTACTATTTGTATTATGGCACCATAATAAAGTTATGTTTCACTTATATATTTGTTGAATGAGATGTACCTTATTTTTCGCTCCATAAGACGCGCCTAGGTTTTAGAGGCAGAAAACAGGAAAAAAAAATTCTGAACTAATGGACTGCAGACATAGTACAGGAGATGACCAGAGAGACTGCGGACAGCACAGGGATGACCAGAGACTGCGGACAGCACAGGGATGACCAGAGACTGCGGACAGTACAGGAGATGACCGGAGACTGCGGACACAGTACAGGAGATGACCAGAGACTGCGGACACAGTACAGGAGATGACCAGAGACTGCGGACACAGTACAGGAGATGACCAGAGACTGCGGACACAGTACAGGAGATGACCAGAGACTGCGGACACAGTACAGGAGATGACCAGAGACTGCAGACATAGTACAGGAGATGACCAGAGACTGCGGACACAGTACAGGAGATGACCAGAGACTGCGGACATAGTACAGGAGATGACCAGAGACTGCGGACACAGTACAGGGGATGACCAGAGACTGCGGACACAGTACAGGAGATGACCAGAGACTGCGGACACAGTACAGGAGATGACCAGAGACTGCGGGACACAGTACAGGAGATGACCAGAGACTGCGGACACAGTACAGGAGGTGACCAGAGACTGCGGACACAGTACAGGAGGTGACCAGAGACTGCGGACACAGTACAGGGGATGACCAGAGACTGCGGACATAGTATAGGAGATGACCAGAGACTGCGGACATAGTACAGGAGATGACCAGAGACTGCGGACACGGTACAGGAGATGACCAGAGACTGCGGACACGGTACAGGAGATGACCAGAGACTGTGGACAGCACAGGAGATGACCAGAGACTGCGGACAGTACAGGAGATGACTGCTGACCTTTGGGGAGGTGGAGGGGAGCTGGTACCTGAATTTGCCAGATACCCGCTCCCACTTCCGTGGAGTTGTTCTTTGATCTTACCTGTTCCTCGATCCAGCCGCGCGCTGTCTTCCCGGCTTCTGTAATGGCGCTCGGCATGACAGCCGGGTGCCCAGTGAGCATGAGCGAGAAGCACTTGCGCTTTGTGATTGGTCCGGTGGCTTCTGGGATCTGTCATGTGTCCCAGGTACCGCCTTACCATTCACAAAAAGCACAGCTTCTTGCGCATGCGCACTTGGCACCCGGCTGTCAAGCCCAGCGCCCCACACTACAGAAGCCGGGAAGACAGCGCGCCGCTGGATAGAGGAACAGGTAAGGTCAATGAACAACTCCGCGGAAGTAAGAGTGGGTATCTGTCAAATTCAGGTACCCGCTCCCCACCTCCGCAAAGGTCAGCAGTCATCTCCATAAGGTCCCGCTGCAGAGCTGAGCGGCCGGCCCGGTATTCTGACACGGCGGCGGTGGAAATACCGGACCGGCCGCTCCATATTCGCTCCATAAGACGCACTGACATTTTCCCCCCCTTTTTTGGGGGGAAAAAAGTGCGTCTTATGGAGCGAAAAATACGGTATATGTTTGCATGGCAAGCAATATTTAACACTAATTTACTTATTAGATAGATTTTGTTTATAGCGCTGCACTATTCACAGTTATTCTGAATGCATTTTTACTGTTCTTTCTGCCTGAAAACTGAGAAACGTCCATGGCGTCCAAAAAGCGTCCCTTTAGGTCAAAAGCGGTTTTAGACCGGCTAGAGAACAGCGATAGTAAATCAGAACCACTTGCAGAATTGAGTGATAATGATTCGTGGGGGAAATTCCTCATCAGACACTGAAAACGATTCTGCGACTTTGCTCAGCGGTGTGCGAACTTGGCGCTATATTTCACATTTCAGTGTTTTTGGTTTGATTACATTATTGAATTAAATTGATTATTATATTATTATTTTTTTTATGATTATTTATTATATTATAATTTATGATTTTGTGTTTCAAATTTTATCCTACCCGGGATGTTTACTAGACTCTTGTTCGGACAGATTTCAGTGAGTTATTCCTAAAAAATTACAGGCCTACAATAAAAAAACGACATATTTCCATGCAAAAAAATGTACCGCTTTGAGCACAGAAATACTGACATAATCAGACCGCTAGGGAGGTTAAGCATACCTGTCTGAAAGAAACTTCGATCTTGTTATTTTTGAAAATGTTGATCTTCTAGAGTTCAGCTTTAATCTCTGTGGCTCTGTAGCTTACATATGTATTTGCAAATGTGTGCTAACTAAACCCCTGTTTTTGACGCATACTGTTAGACAGGTTAATTCGGTTTGTTTGCAGGCTGGCTGGTAAGTTATGTCTGGGAATTTTTCTGTTTTTGTTGTTTGACATGCGCTCCTTGTGCTCCTTACTGTGAAGGCCAGTTATAGACTGGGGCAGTGGCCATTCTTTGTACTGTTGAATTGTTGGTTGAGGGGGCGCACTGGACACCCTAGCTGTCATTGTACTACATGCTGGATGTCCAGTGCGCCCCCTCAACCAAGGCCATTCAAAAGTGTTGGGGACTTTCACAAGGAGTGGACTGAGGCTGGAGTCAGTGCATCAAGAGCCACCACACATAGACAGATCCTGGAGATGGGCTTCAAATTTCGTATTCTTCTTGTCCAGCATGTAGCACAATGACAGCTAGGGTGTTCAGTGCGCCCCCTCAACCAACAATTCTTCACAGCAAGGAGCACATGGAAGTGCGCTCCTGTACCTTTAAGGAGGGGTGGCCTCTCTCAGATCCACCTGTCCTTGGTCTATCCATTAAATACATGTGCCTCTACTATGGGGGCTCTTAAAATTGTAGAGTTAGGAACTACAGAATACTGGGGTGCCGTGCCTCTGTAGCTTATGCATGTATTTACAAATGTCTGCTAACTAAACCCCTGTTTTTACCGCATACTGTTAGACAGGTTAATTCGGTTTTTTTTGCAGTCTGGCTGGTAAGTTAGAGCTGAGAATTTTTTCTTTTTTGTTGTTTGACATGTGTCGCCCTTCCATGTGTTCCTTGTTGTGAAAGCCAGTTATAGACCGGGGCAGTGGCCATTTCTTCTACTGTTGAATTGTTGGTTGAGGGGGTGCACTGGACACCTTAGCTGACATTGTGTTACATGCTGGGTGTCCAGTGAACTCCTGTACCTTTAAGGAGGGGTGGCCTCTCTCAGATCCACCTGTCCTTGGTCTATCCATTAAATACATGTGCCTCTACTATGGGGGCTCTTAAAATTGTAGAGTTAGAAACTACAGAATACTGGGGTGCCGTGCCTCTGTAGCTTATGCATGTATTTACAAATGTCTGCTAACTAAACCCCTGTTTTTACCGCATACTGTTAGACAGGTTAATTCGGTTTTTTTGCAGTCTGGCTGGTAAGTTAGAGCTGAGAATTTTTTCTTTTTTGTTGTTTGACATGTGTCGCCCTTCCATGTGTTCCTTGTTGTGAAGGCCAGTTATAGACCGGGGCAGTGGCCATTTCTTCTACTGTTGAATTGTTGGTTGAGGGGGTGCACTGGACACCTTAGCTGCTGACATTGTGTTACATGCTGGGTGTCCAGTGAACTCCTGTACCTTTAAGGAGGGGTGGGCTCCCTCAGGTCCATCTGCCGTTAGTCTATCTATTACATACATGTACCTCTACTATGGGGGCTCTTAAAATTGTAGAGTTAGGAACTACAGAATACTGGGGTGCCGTGACGAGGCTCTGTAGCTTACGCATGTGTTTGCAAATGTGTGCTAACTAAACCACTGTTTTTACCGCATACTGTTAGACAGGTTAATTCGGTTTGTTTGCAGGCTGGCCGATAAGTTAGAGCTGGGAATTTTTTCTTTTTTGTTGTTTGACATGCATCCCCCTTCCATGTGCTCCTTGCTGTGAAGACCAGTTATAGACCGGGGCACCGGCCATTTCTTGTTCAGCTCTAATTTCCCTGTCTTTTTTGGTGGCCCCGAAGCAACGTGCCGTCAACCCATCGGTCTGTTTGTGTCTATGTGAGTCTCTCTGAACTTTCATAAGGACCCAAGCGGGAGACCCAATGTGCTGACCCTGCTTAGCATAGCCTGGGATGTTTACTAGACTCTTGTTTGGACAGATTTCAGTTATTGCTAAGAATTACAGGCCTGCAATAAAAAAAACGACATATTTCCATGCAAAAAAAGTACCGCTTTTGAGCACAGAAATATTGACATAATCAGAGCGCTAGGGAGGTTACTGGATAGACCAGGGCAGATGGACCTGAGGGAGCCCACCCCTCTTTAAAGGTACAGGAGTGCTCCGGACACCAAGCATATAGCACAATGGCAGCTAAGGTGTTCACTGTGCCCCCCGACCAACAATTCAACAGTACAAGAAATGGCCACTGCCCCAGTCTATAACTCCTAGATAGTAAGCTCCAAGGAGCAGGGCCCTCGAACCCCTCGTGTATTGTATTGTTACTGTACTGTCTTGTGTACTGTCTCCCATCCTAATGTACAGCGCTGAGCAAACTGTTGGCACTATATAAATACTGTATAATAATAACTGGCCTTCACAGCAAGGAGCACATGTAAGTGCACTCCTGTATCTTTAAGGAGGGGTGGGCTCCCTCAGGTCCATCTGCACTTTGTCTATTAATTAAATACATGTGCCTCTACCAGGGGCGGACTGACAACTCAAGGGGCCCCCGGGCAATAGGGGATCATGGGGCCCCCTGAGTCCTTGCCCAAACTCAAAAAAGCCTCTGAAAAAGGTACCAGGGGCATCTCATGGGGCCCCCTACTGCAATAGGGGATCATGGGGCCCCTGTGTCCTTGCCCAAACTCAAAAAAGCCTATGAAAAAGGTACCAGGGGCATCTCATGGGGCCCCCTACTGACCCCGGGCCCTCAGGCAGTGCCCGAGTTTCCAAATGGTCAGTCCGCCCCTGGTCTCTACTATGGGGGCTCCTAAAATTGTAGAGTTAGGAACTACAGAATACTGGGGTGCCGTGGCGAGGCTCTGTAGTTTACGCATGTATTTGCAAATGTGTGATAGATAAACCCATTTTTGCTGCATACTGTTAGACAGGTTAATTGAGTTTGTTTGCAGGCTGGGCCGGTAAGTTACAGCTGGGAATTTTTCTTTTTTGTTGTTTGACATGCGTCGCCCTTCCATGCACTCCTTGCCGTGAAGGCCAGTTCTAGACTGGGGCAGTGGTCATTTCTTGTTCAGCTCTAAGTTCCCCGTCTTTTTTGGTGGCCCCGAAGCAATGTGCCATCAACCCATCGGTCTGTTTGTGTCTATGTGAGTCTCTCCGAACCTCATAAGGACCCAAGCGGGAGACCCAATGTGCTGACCCTGCTTAGCATAGCCTCCATATGCATTCCCGTGCCATATTGATCATTACCTTGTTTCCGAGAGGTATAATAAGCCTGTGAAGGCCAGTTATAGACTGGGACAGTGGCCATTTTTTGTACTGTTGAATTGTTGGTTGAGGGGGCACATTGGACACCTTAGCTGCCATTGTGCTACATGCTGGGTGTCCAGTGCGCTCCTGTACCTTTAAGGAGGGGTGGGCTCCCTCAGGTCCATCTGTACTTTGTCTATCCATTAAATACATGTTCCTCTACTATGGGGGCTCCTAAAATTGTAGAGTTAGGAACTACAGAAATACTGGGGTGCTGTGGCAAGGTTCTGTAGCTTACGCATGTATTTGCAAATGTGTGATAGATAAACCCGTTTTTTACTGCATACTGTTAGACAGGTTAATTCGGTTTGTTTGCAGGCTGGCCGGTAAGTTAGAGCTGGGAATTTTTCTTTTTTGTTGTTTGACATGCGTCACCCTTCCATGTGCTCCTTGCTTTGAAGGCCAGTTATAGACTGGGGCAGTGGCCATTTCTTGTACTGTTGAATTGTTGGTCAGGGGGGCACACTGGACACCTTAGCTGCCATTGTGCTACATGCTCTGTGTCCAGTGCGCTCCTGTACCTTTAAGGAGGGGTGGGTTCCCTCAGGTCCATCTGCCCTTGGTCTATCCATTACATACATGTGCCTTTACTATGGGGGCTCTTAAAATTGTAGAGTTAGGAACTACAGAATACTGGGGTGCCGTGACGAGTCTCTGTAGCTTATGCATGTATTTGCAAATGTGTGCTAACTAAACCCCTGTTTTTACTGCATACTGTTAGACAGGTTAATTCGGTTTGTGTGCAGGCTGGCCGGTAAGTTAGAGCTGGGAATTTTTATTTTTTGTTTGACATGCGTCGCCCTTCCATGTGCTCCTTGCTGTGAAGACCAGTTATAGACCGGGGCAGCGGCCATTTCTTGTTCAGCTCTAAGTTCCCTGTTTTTTTTGGTGGCCCCGAAGCAACGTGCCGTCAACCCATCGGTCTGTTTGTATCTATGTGAGTCTTTCATAAGGACCCAAGCGGGAGACCCAATGTGCCGACCCTGCTTAGCATAGCCTGGGATGTTTACTAGACTCTTGTTCTGAAAGATTTCAGTTATTGCTAAGAATTACAG